CCAAGAAATCTTTCGGTTAGAACAGCCTACCTGAGCCGAGACTACAAACCCATGACCTCTCGAATAAGAAGCAACAGTTAACTTTCGTGTCATTCATTTAATTATGTAAGCCTGTTTTAAGTCAATTGTTTAAATATTTACGAATTTATTTTCACTTATCTACTTATTATTTATTATTCACTCATTTACGTTATTATGTATTTCGTTGTTTACTTGCTTTCTTATTTTGTAGATAATGTAAAGAGAAAAGATTCTAGAACTAAACTACATGTCACTTTTTTTAATGCCTAAAATTCCGTCCTTTTCAACTTCCGCTAATGTTCGACGGTTATGTCACTGTTCTTCTTTGTCGTGTTTCATTCACTTATTTTTCATAACATGTTTCGGCCACAGACTTTTATCGTTGGGTACATTACTTACATGATGCTAATTGTTTCACTGTCTTTTTCTCAAACAAACTCCGTGATTTTAGTCCGCAAGCGAACTATACCGACCGAGCCACCGCCTCTTTTCGGCGAAGGTAGTGCCAACTTTAGCGGATAGATGGTGTAGCGTGGTCAGCGCAACGAATCCCCACGGCCGTTAATTTCGGTTTTCTAGACCGCAGCCTCTATTTCCTTGAAATAGCTCCTCAATTATCCTCACGAGGCTGAGTGGACCCAGTCCCAGACCAACTACTTCTCAGAAAATCTGGTAGCGCCGGGAATCGAACCCGGACCTCTGGATCTGTAGGCAGGAACTCTGACCACTAGACCACAGAGGCGGTCTCATATTGAGAAAAAACTTTAAATTAACTAATTAAAATACTGGCGTTAATGGTTAAAATCCTAATGTTATTTCTTGGAGGCTTAGTTTGTTGCAACCTGCTGTATGCATCTGGCCTCAAGTGCATTTGCTTTGGCGATGCGTTTATATCTTCTTCGTGGTTGATGAATGAAGAATAATTACTGGGGGGGAAAATCTTAAATATGATTCTACAAATTTCATATTACGCAAATTTCATTCACTTTATGAACCTGTCTTTATTGAGAAATTAATTTTAATTTTCATATTTACAAATATACATCCTACAACACGACTGAATTACATCTTGGAATATTCTACATAATAAACACTTCAAACGAGATCGACTTAGAGTCTCAACTTCTCTCTCTCCTAAATTAGTTTAAAATTAGCAGCGTTGTGTCTATAGCCGACAGTTGTATATAAGAAAATGTGCCATTCTAGCCAGCCAACAAACCCTCTTCAGAACAGAGCACCCATTTATCATCACCTTCGGAGATGAGTTCGTTCGCCTTTCATTCTGATACTTTACATCATCAAAGTCAGTAGCATCTTACGTTTCTAAGCTCTGTGTTTATCATATCAATCATCTCTTTTCTTCAGCGGCATTCCTTAGGGCAAATGTTTTTAGCGGGGTTCTTTTTCTGGAAGCGAGTATGTTTTGGACAAGCTGATTCTTGTTATCATGTCATAAGGAGATGAAGATGTTTGAAATTCACAAAGGAATAAAGAAGGAAAAAATATCAACTGAGAAAAAGTTCTTTGTTGAAGCTTTCATGTGTTGAATTAATATCCTTTGAAAGAAGAGCAGTGTATTTTTGTTTCTGAGAAAAAATGTGTGTAATGTGGATAAGTGTTTGGACGTGCAACACCAATCTAAACAAAACCAGCTTTACTGCCAGGTGGAAATGGTTAACATTCCCTGTTCGTATCCAGGATGGCAATGTTCTCGAATATAGCTAGAAAATTTGTTATTAATTCCAGTAATTTATTTGGACAATATTCCTAAATGAATATGTATAAGTGTCATCTTCAGGAAGATAACGATGTGAGCACTAAAGGCTCAAAAGCGTAATGCCAATTTTATCCAAACCGTCTCTAATAGTCGGGCGGATTTCATTGTTGCTCGGCATTCAGTATCCAACACAGTCTATTGCACAACAGCCGATTTTGTTCTCAAGGTCATATAATCAAGATTAATGACCAAGTTTTTGTAATGTCTTTGCATAGATTTTTCTTTTAAATACGTAATCCAAATTTTCGTATATTTCCAGGCTCGTGTATTAAGCAACTCCCATTCAAGACCTCTATTTTACCTCCGTCTTCATGTGAAAACGGATTATGATGTGTAAACCCTCAGATACGCCCTGTTAAATCAGCTCAAATCACATATACTTGTTATACGTGCGGAACAGGAAGAAAGGCAGGAACTTCCCTTCCTGTGACTGGCAACAAAACTGTGGGAAACTTTTGCAGTCCATCCACACAAGAGCTTCCATAACAATTCCAGTCACGCTGGTCTAGCTCTCTTTCAATCAAAGCGGTATATCGCACAGAGGCAAGGGATTGGTCAGAGCTTACACTAATCCTGGCAATGCATCCATTCTATGCAACAAAGTTTGCTAGAAACACCAACATTACAACAAGACATGCATGCGGGACAATCATTCAATCAATATATTACATGCTCACGTAATGAATGATTAAGAAGCGAACACAGTGACTGGCTGGTTAACTAATTAATTGAATGATTAACTTGATAACAGATTTCGTGATTCAAAATTATTTTTGTGATTGAATGACTGAATTTCAGTCCTCCTGACCGAGTAACTCACAACTTGCCATTGACAATCTGACCAATGAAATTATTCATTCATCAATCACTTAATTATGAGCGCAGGTATTGATATGTAGTTTGTAATCCTTAAATAATTCCTATCCCTGTCACTTCAGTGAACTCAGCCATAAGGTAACACGCCATTTCATTACAACCTCTTCGGCAAAAGAAGTCCGTACTCACACATGAGATGAACCATCAAAAGCGAGATATCCCAAATAGGTTCTGAACGGTAACAGATCGCATTGTCATGAGACGAACCATCAAAAGCGAGATATCCCAAATAGGTTCTCAACGGTAAGAGATCGCATTGACATGAGATGAACCATCAAAAGCGAGATATCCCAAATAGGTTCTCAACGGCAACAGATCGCATTGTCATGAGATGAACCATCAAAAGCGAGATATCCCAAATAGGTTCTGAACGGCAACAGATCACATTGTATTCCAATGGCAAACGACAGTGGACCGAGTACATGCAATCGTAACTCAAAATTTACTAGACGCACTTGACTGGTCGATTTCATAATAAATAACTTATAAAATAAAAAAAATAAACTACACTAAAATAAGGGTTTATATCACTGCAAGAAATCGTAACATGTCATCATTAAATATATATTGAACTTGAAACAATTGGTACGGTAAAGGTAAAGTTGTACCTGTGCTTAATTAATGAAGTACCACGCCATGAAGACCTGTGGAAGTATAGTTTCAGCATTCTTGACCTCGGACCGCTTTACCCCGGGGAAAGGGCTCCCTGAAACCACGGGTGACCAATATTTATTTCCACAAGGGCCAATTTAAAGAGTTCAAAGTCCGCTCAGACCGAAAGCCAAACGAATGTTAACTATAGTATATTTACCGGTCTAAAGAGCATACATTCTTGGACAGAGAGAACACAAAGGTCACGGGTTCGAATTCTGATTTTGTGTTGTGTTGTCCTGTTACGCAGATGCATTTCGGTGGGTTTATAGCCTCCTATTAAATAAACTTGACAGTCAACTAAATGGGGCATGAAAATAAGCTCATTCCAGATACTCTCCTGGCATTCGACTAGGAAGCCTGAGTAAAAGCATGAAAACCCAATAAAGATATGACCGATAAACTAATCGATATTCGAATCGCATACAAGTTAACATCCTAATGTCTTATATAATACTGTTGAAATTGATAGTAACAAAAATAACAAGTGGTCTACAATTAAGCGCTTTATAACGGGCGGTTCCTTCAAGCACCTTTGTTCCAGAAACTGGAGACAAAATATCCTGGTGTTTCTGAAGATGCAGCCTAAATCTTCAAGACACGTGTATCCATTAATCAATGTCATCTCTGCTTACCTGTAGTTACCCTGACAACAACAAATGTTTAACACGTTACGAGAACAAACACTTTCCTTCATCGTCTACAATTAACTCTGCTTAACAAGGCGTCTTGGGACGAAACAAAGTGTCTTACAAAAGATGGGGCCAAGTGACAGAGGAAACTGATCGCTGTACATGTGGGTTCATGCTTCGTTGCACATAGACAAAGAGAATCAACGGTGTCAGGACCAGACTGAAGAAGCTGATAAACTGCATAGTCATTAGGAGGCAAAGGCTTGTACCCTCTCAGAGATGTCACGTGACATCGTCAAACTTGAAATCCACACAGAATTCCTGTTTCACATTATATCTCACTTCAAATGAAATTCTTCTTATGATCTACAGAAATTACTGTTTTCCAGGTATGATTAGTACTTAATAACGTCGTATTAATATCAGGAGGCTAAATCGTTGTTTAGAAGCTGATAGTCACTCAGAAAATCAACCTTTTATGAAACTGGAAGAATCATTACCATATCCACAACAGCCTGCACCTGGACCCTAGACTGAGCCAGGTTAATCCAAACCAATAAGCCCATCTTCACAGAGGTTAAACAATCATTCCACTCCTAAAAATATATTTAAATGTATATGGGGACAGGCGGTAGCGTATTTGATTGAGGCACTATGCTACAAGCATGAAGGTCGCGGGTTCGGGTCCCGACGAGGTGGATTTTTTTTTTCGTTGATCTAATCCTCCCAGCCGCACTAAGGCCCTGGGGTCAACTCAGCCTCTAACAGAAAAGAGTACCAAGAATCTTCTTGGGGGGTAAAGGGCGGCCAGAGCGTAAGGCTGACAACCTCACCGCCACCTTTGAGCCGACTGTCTAGAAAATGTAGGAACCTCGACGTCTCACAACCCTATGGGAATCCAAATCCTTCGGAACCCTAAAACACACCAACAACGGGACAGTGTTTTCAATATCTCGTGGCAGACAGGTCATCTTTTTCCAGTATTTTTGTGCTGACACAATATACATGGATTAATAGAGTGGTGGTTTTCTGCTTGTTGACAGCCGGATCCAAAATGGGAGTTTCCCAGAAGTCGACTTATCATCGAGCAGACACTGGGTGAAGGAGAGTTCGGGCGAGTGTTGCGCGCACGCGCTCTGGATATCGGCGGAATATCGGGTGAGTAGCAACGGTCCTCAAAGCGTTAACCAACCAAAGGCCATGACTCTGGGCTCATAACTGAATACAAGTCTGCTGTGAACTGGAGCACGCTCGATCGAAACCAGCAGCGCACTTTTCTGTTAGTGTTGAAAGCTGGAGTTTATGCCTATACCAGAAAGCTACTCAATCAGCCAGTCAACTAATTTGTTAACGAGATATTTAATTAGTAAATAGTCTGTTGTGTTAATTACACTTCACTCTCGACGTCTGTGCAGTGGACATGAACATGAAAAAGGCAGGTGCTAGAAGTGAAGAACATATTCCACGATAAGCCAGTGCTTGTAAAAAGGAATTTGCGACGGGCTTGCCGACATCAAGGGCGAACGATGCCTCTGCTTGGGGCTACATGCCAATAAGGGCACCACATTTTACAAACCCTTATTCTTCCCATTTTTATAACAAAGATATATTTCTGCTGCTCTTTTGGTCACATCGTTACAACTAATTGGCAGTACTCTTAAATATGTCACTAAAATTATTTTAAGAATTCGGATACTAATGACGGCTTCTGTTGCAGTGTCTGAAAATTTCACGTTGTGAATTGTGGCAAAGTTTTGAGTAAGTCGAGCTGTTTTTAAATGAGGGCGGTATTGTGGAATATTTCATCATCTGGGATGGAATTTATGTTTCGGCTGGCCCTGAATTTGCGTAATTATTAAAAATAACCAATCGTTTTCTAATTGACGTAAAATACAATTATGAATAAGCCGATATTTTCCGGGGGGGGGGCACGCGGTAGCGAAGTTGGTTAAGGCACTATGCTAGAAGCTGGGAAGTCGTGAGTTCGATTCCCGATGGGGGTCATTGGATTTCTCATTTGACCTAATCCTTTCAGCTGCGCTATGGTGCCGGGGTCGACTCAGCCTCTAACAGAAATGAGTACCAGGAATCTTCCTGATGGTAAAAAGCGGTTGGCGCTGACCTCGCCGTCATCTGTGAGCCGACTGTCTTGAAAATTTGGAAGCCTCGACATCTCAAAACCCTATGGGCCTCCATAGCCTGTTACAGGGATAGCTTTACCTTACCTATATTTTAGGGACTCGTGTTTTTGTGAGGTTAATGGCAGATTTTTAGATTGTAAACTTTTACCCTCAGTTCTGAAGACCAGATCAGCTTCAGCAGGAAACGAAATTTGTCCCAAGGGCGATCAAATAGACATAAATCGACATGCAAAACTGAGGTATTTTTCTGCGAATGAGAAAGCAAAATGGCTTTCATTACATTGGTTCCCAGAAAATGTTGGAGAATTCAGAGAAGCACGTGAAGTGGCCTACCGAAATTTGAAGCCGTTTTGCTTTCAAGAGTTCCTATTTCCCTTCCTCATATTCCAGGATGCACAACTGTGGCCGTGAAGACACTGAAAGAAAATGCCAGTGCATCGGAACTCACAGACTTACTGTCCGAGTATCAGCTCCTCAAAGAAGTGACGCATCCGAACGTCATTCGGCTGCTGGGTGCGTGCACGACGCCTGGAGCCCCTATTTACCTCATCATAGAGTTCGCTGAATACGGGTCCCTCAGGTAAAATACGACTACTCTCGCCTTCAAGAAACCATGGACAATGATCATTCATTTTATACGATTACTAGCTTCTGGGATATAACGGGGTGTAGTGCGCTGAAAGTCAACCGACGTTTTGGATGGACATATCGCTTCCATCTTCAGGGTCGAAGAATAAGCCGAGCAAGAGAGCGTGAAAGCAGGCCTGTTTTCGCGGCTCTGCTCTGGCGATGTGTTCCTCCAAAATATCGGTTGACTTTTAACTGACTGCATGGCGTTGTATCCTAGAAAATAGACTGCTTTGTTGGTATGTGCTTTCTGCTACTTTAAAGTGCACCAAGCAGCATAATAATACTGTCGTTTATGGTGCATGTATGCCTGACGCCATTCGTCGCCATGATAGCAGACACAACTAAGAAATAGAACACAGGAATGTACTCGTATTAGATATGACTTAGAACTCTGCTGGGGAACGTATCTTCGCGGAAGGGCTGTACAGAGTTGGGTCTACACATATTTTTAATTTGTCAATTTGTCCGCCGAAACTCTTCACGAGGGAGCCGGGATAGTGCAGTCGGTATAGCGACTGGCTACGGGCTGGACGACCGAGGGGTCGGAGTTCGGGTCCCGGTAGGGTCAAGAATTGTCTCCTCTTTGCGTCGTCCAGACCAGCTCTGGGTTCCACCTCATCTCCTATCCAATGGGTACCAGGGGCATTTTCCCCGAAGGTAAAGCGACCGGGGCGTGAAACTGCCCACTCGCCTCGAACTAGTGTCGAGGCCAAGAAAATGTGGTTCTCTACATCCGCTCCCCCTTACGCCTTCATGGCGTAGTGTTTAATTAGTTAAGCATAGGGACAAATTTACCTTATATTCTTTCGAGATTTTTGCCGGTATTTTAGATATTGCCCGAGCATAAAATTGCTTCATTAATACCATATTGTATAGTCAATTACAGATGTACCCTTTCTTGGAAATTCCTTAATTCGTGATGCATTGCCGGAAAGTTTTCTTTAATAGCAGTGATGTTATAGCCTAAACGTTACAGATCACATCGCCTTTTTCTGACTCAAATCTCTAAACTGTATTATTCCTTCCAAACAATTCCACTCCGATATGTACTTGTACGTGTATTTATTTTATTAATAAATGGCTTTCTCTGGAATCAGACAGCATATTGCAACTAACATTTTTTTTATAGTTTACTGCTGAATTTTAACTGGTTGTTCTCTACTTTACTTTAGAATTGCGAATTTTCCACTTTTTCGCTGTCAAAACTGAGAATACTGAATGGAATTACATTTACTTTAAGTGTTTGTTACAATTTTCTAATAATATGTAAAATCTATTATTGACCTGTCCTCTAAAACAGTTCGACTTGAAGGTCGCTCATAAAACAATCAAGTCCATTTCCTGCTCATTTTCTTTCGTCTATTTAGAAAGCAATTAAGCTGCTAATCACCCAGAGACAAAACCCATCACTCTAATACTTATTGTAGGAGATCGCTATTAGTTTCCAAGGAGCAATTAATGTCTAGAAATGTAGGAAGCCTTGACCAAGGACGCGAGAACGTGCAATTATCTTCTTCCACTTGACGTACCAATGTAATGTAATTTGCTCCGGCAGCTACCGTCTGCAGTACGAGTGGAATCCAAGAGCTTGGAAACGAAAGGGACGACGCTTTAGAGCGAAAAATACTTATAAAATGACGGTATTCTCACAGGCTTTAATAACAGGCCATGTTTCAGGACCATGAAAGACGCAGAATAGTTTATTAAATGTCTGTGGAATGTAATATGACTGAAATACATCCATGTTTATGACAAACTTGTTTTGTAAAACAAAATGAAGAAGGAAGTCGTTAATAGCTACATAAAAATTTCGTTTAGCAATATTCTTGATACGGCAGAAGAGTTTACGTGTACGAAATGCTGGTCGGAAAGTGAAACGATTGATCTTAATTCCTTCAAAACTTCAGAACATTCTGCAGAAAACCGAGATAAATTCATACAGAACACAAAGTCAAAGAATCCTTCATCGTTCTTTATTTTCCGCTTCCACGTACATGACTAACGAAGCGTGGTATTCGTAACTTTTAAGAATTAATTTTTAAGTTAATTAACGACGTTATTTTCAGCTACAGAAGCAATTAAATAGGGCCGAATACAATTAATACCCACAACAATGGCAACAATATCTAAGGCATGAACCGTATTCGCTCGCTGAAGCATTGGGATCATGGGTTCGAATCCTACTCGAGATATGGATGTCATTGCACGTTTATTCTGTGTTTGTGGTGTTCTGTGTATAGGTAGAGGCCTTGTGACGTGCTGACCCCCTGTCAGAGGAATCATGCCGACTGTGATTCGATTAAGAGACTGAAAAAGCGGCCAAGGTCCAAAAAGAGAACTGTTGAGCCATAGATGGATAGAATAAAATGAATGAAGAGTTAAGAAAGGTTCTGGAAAGATGCAGTCACAGCCTGGCTGAAGGTAGTCACCGATCGAAGCTCAAGAAGAGTAACTTAGAACTAAAAGTCTACGTAGTTAACGCTACACCTGTTCATCTTGGTAATTTTGATAAATATGAAGATTTTCTGCCCCCCGACAAGAACAAAGAATCCAATGCACACACACACACACACATATACATATGCACATGTAAATACCATAAAAGTATATAATTTGTAGATTTATCTATAATCTCTCACCATATTAAGTCACACATGCTTAATTACAACACTTCATCAGCTACTGTCAGGCAACCTAAATTCCATGCGACTGTTACAGTAATTTAAATTTAACAGAAAAACAAAAGGTGTTAACAAAATTTGAGTACTCTAAGAGATTTGTTTGCAGCTTAAACACACTTCCTGGAATCTTGCGCTGAATATTAGTATTACTGAGTACACAAACAAGTAATTATACAACACATAACAAACTTTGCATACATGAATTCTAACAGAATTTATACATGTTACAGACACACGTGCACACTGAGAGGACTATATATTTAAAACATAAGCAACCATACAGAAAACAGAAGTTTCCTCATCTGTAATTTTTAAAACTTGATGATGACCACATTGGTCAAAACATGTACTGTAGAACTTTAAAGTGAATAGCTTTTAATAAGTTTTATAGAAGATTATTGCTGTACGTGAGACTGTGGAAGTACTGATACTCATATGGCCATGTTGGAATAACTGAAGACAGAAATTTAAGAAATAATCCTCAGAATGGCTTTAAATAGCATGGACTTTTTAAGGAGTACTTTGACAATGTATTTTAAAATCTAATAGGCAGAGAATAAACATTCATCTTTCCAAAAATTTTGCCAAAAAAAATGAACTTTTGCTGCCTTTTGTCTGTTTTGTACTGACTGCAACTCTCCAGCAAATGCGCTCTGCTACCAGACAGCTAACATAGCTGCCGCAGCTCTCCAGCAACCACGCTCTGCTACTAGACAGCTAACATAGCTGCTGCAACTCTCCAGCAACCACACTCTGCGACCAGGCAGCTAATGTAGTTACCGCAACTCTCCAGCAACCTTGCTCTGCTACTAGACAGCTAACATAGCTGCTGCAACTCTCCAGCAACCACACTCTGCGACCAGGCAGCTAATGTAGTTACCGCAACTCTCCAGCAACCTTGCTCTGCTACTAGACAGCTAACATAGCTGCTGCAACTCTCCAGCAACCACACTCTGCGACCAGGCAGCTAATGTAGTTACCGCAACTCTCCAGCAACCTTGCTCTGCTACTAGACAGCTAACATAGCTGCTGCAACTCTCCAGCAACCACACTCTGCGACCAGGCAGCTAATGTAGTTACCGCAACTCTCCAGCAACCTTGCTCTGCTACTAGACAGCTAACATAGCTGCTGCAACTCTCCAGCAACCACACTCTGCGACCAGGCAGCTAATGTAGTTACCGCAACTCTCCAGCAACCTTGCTCTGCTACTAGACAGCTAACATAGCTGCCACAACTCTCCAGCAACCACACTCTGCGACCAGGCAGCTAATGTAGTTACCGCAACTCTCCAGCAACCTTGCTCTGCAACCAGGCAGCTAACGTAGTTGCCACAATTCTCCAGCAACCTCGCTCTGCGACCAGGCAGCTAATGTATTTGCCGCAACTCTCCAGTAACTGCGCCATAGGCAGCTGTTCCTACAGAAGCACACAGCACCACATTACCAGCCGGGCAAACCAGCTGAACAGCCGTAAAAACTTGGTCTACTATAAAGGAGCAAATTCTACCAGCGCACTCACAGTGGAACAAACTGCCCTTCTCAGGGCAAGCCAATAGCCTCACAGCTATTCTGTACATTCAATTTATACAATTTAATACATACAATTGTTACAGATTTACGTGGTTGTCTTTTAGAACATCAACAATCCCACAAGATATATACAATAAAATTTCATTTTCAGAAGCACATCAGTGCTGTCAGCAGATGAAGAATAAGATTTCTCTATGTACATTTCAGTTCCCAAACCACTTGCTGGTTTCTAACTAAATTTCACATAGTTAACCTACATTACAGGTTGTCAAACAAGCCAGACTTTATGATACTCATACATGGATTCCTAAATCAACAGACAGCAATTACAGTAATTCGTCTAGAAGGTAAACCTGCCCTTGTGCTTAATTAAGCACCACACAAAGTAGGTGCATGATAGAGTGAAGAAATATCTCAATGCAGCACCATACTGAGATGAATGGTCAAATTCACAAAAAAAAGTTGCTTTATCTCTGAGGAAAAGGCATCCAGTATCTACTGGACAGTAGACTGGATTGGCCCCAGAGCTGGTCTTGATGTTATGCAGAAGAGAATAGCTTCTTCCCCTTTCCAGGAATCAAACACCAATTCTTTGGTCTTACAGAATGCACCCTAGTCACTATATAGACTGAACTATCCCACCTCCTAGCAACTGTTCCATCAGTTGCTAAACAATTTACCTAGATCCTGTCCAAAAATGTACAGTTACAATGAAGGGCAGAGCAGGAAGGTGGGGACAGCAATGCAGCTGCTCCAGGGGCAGATGAGAAAGAGAGACACCAAACACAGCCTGGAAATGTGATAACATTTATGAAAGAAACCATCACTGGATGTTATCAATGTGAAGCAGACTACAATCTTGTGGCTTTATTGGAATATACAAATATCCATGAGTTCTGTTGTCACAGTTTATCCCTTGGTTTCACAAACATAAGAAGAAGATGGGTATGTCTCTGACCTTGTCCTGGCATCCAGAAATGACTACTCCCTGATCTCTCTTCTGCTTCAGGCTATTGAGGAAACTAGATTTGGGGATTCTGGGAGACATTCACCTCTCAGTTCTTTCAGGGATGCACCCATTTGTGACCATCTTTAAACCTTGTTCATGACTGTTTATTATGCCATTCAGTAAATGTAATTTAGTGGGTTACCTTATTCAATTTCTTCTTTTTTGGGGGCTGTGCCAGACATTCCTCATTCTTCTCTATTGCAGGAATTACTTGAGGAAAAGCAGACACTTGGAATCAGATGGGCAGATTCCCTGTTCCTTTGGCTCTACGCCTACAATGCGGCCCGATACTCTAGTAGAAACAGAATGTACAACTGCTCCTGCCACTCCAAGGGATATCCTTTCATTTGCCTGGCAGATTAGCAAAGGAATGGCTTACCTCAGTGATATTAAGGTTTGCACAACAGACCCGTGACATTATCAATATTTCTGGTAAAATTAATTGCTTACCGCACACCATATGGTCTTACAATTCAGGAAAGATAAAAACATAAATGAACATTAATAAAAGAATTATATCTAGAATGACATACTAATATAATGTAACATCTAAGGACCAACAAGAGTGAAGCAGATTTAAAGCCTGTAAGCATACAGGATCACAATGGCTCTTCTAGTGGAAGTTCCACATACATGATGAGTGATGACTAATCAAATTTCTAAGAGGAGCAATTTTTGACACATTTCTCTTTCAGTAAATTTAACATAAATATGCAGTATTTGTCATTAATAATCTAAATACAATAATCTTAATTTTAAATGAAGAACAAATTCATTTTACCTGCAATTACAATTAGAAGGCACAGGTCACTTAATTTGGTATATAGCGTTTCATGCGACCACCTCAACTTCATAATGCAGTACCTCTCATTCCACAGCTTGTTCATCGGGACCTTGCAGCAAGGAACGTGTTGGTGGCTGCAGGCAAGATCTGCAAGATCTCAGACTTCGGCCTGACAAGGGATGTGTACGAAGATGATGCGTACCTCAAGAGAAGCAAAGGACGTGGTATGTTGATAGAATAGTGTTAAGTTATCAACATAATGATCATCATTAACTACATGGTTTCACACCTACCGGTATGTTCCCACTCTTACTCATATATCAGGTCTAATCACGTCATTCAGCTTGTCTTGGCTTCATCCGTCTGGCTATTCTTTCTGATCTTCTTGGCTTGATCGTTTTACATAAATAGATTACTAGCCTGCCATAAAATCCCCAACCTGAAGGGAATGAGGACTTTGATTTTGGGGTGTTCAACTCCTGGATAAGCTGCCATCAGTATATCTATTGAAGCTTCTTTGTCCATTGTGGTATAATCTTAATCTTACTCTTATCTGCACCCTTCTCTTATGAAAAGTCAGCATGCATACATTTTCCCAGAATTGTAAACTGAACAATTAGGACTGCTAAGTCCTTCACCAAGGCAAGGTGTAAAATTTTGAAAATATATATTACATACATTCATGCTTCACGGTAATTAAATTTCTGTAATCAAAATATATACCTGGATAGCATGGGACTGGGGTAGTAGCCCCACCCTCCACAAAACAGGAACAGAATCTACAGATTTTATTGAGACATTTGCTTCTCAAAAATTGCCAAAAGTTAGTTGACACTGAAAAAAGTCATAATATAAAATTGTTGTTACTGATCAAGGGGGGCACATGGTAGCATATTTGGTTGAGGCACTATGTACAAGCTGCAAGGTCGTGGGTTCAATTCCTGATGAGGTCATTGAATTCTTCAATTGACCTAATCCTTTCAGCCTCACTATGGTCCTGGGGTCACCTCAGTCTCTAACAGAAATGAGTACCAGGAATTTTCCTAGGGGTTAAGGGTGGCCTATGCATAAGGCTGACAATCTCATCACCATCTATGAGCCGACTGTCTAGAAAATGTGGGGGCCTCGATGTCTCACAACCCTATGGGCCTCCATGGCCTGTTACAGAGATAGCTACCTTCTACCTTTTCTATTATTGATCAAGGACTCCGCATTTTGATTGCTCCACAGTAACTAAATCTGGTCCTGCTGGAGAGCATGTAAAAATATATGACTGTGATTTTCATCTATTTGTAGAAAGACTTTTATTGTTTTTTGAATGAGAAAACAAAAGCAGCTGAGATCATGGTTTATTGTAATATCTGTTCTTTGCCAAGAGGAAAATATATCAGTTTAAGAAAGCATTAGCTAATATTTTCAGTTCCAGTGTAATGTAGAACTACTTTATGATCTAGCACACACATTAGCAATCTTAAATTTGTATGTTTCAGTCCCAGTCAAGTGGATGGCACTGGAATCATTGGCAGATCACATGTACACTAGCAAGTCAGATGTGTGGAGTTTCGGCATACTCATGTGGGAGTTGGTAACACTGGGAGCATCACCATACCCTGGTGTTGCAGTTCATAATCTCTTCCATCTCCTGAAGGCTGGCTACCGAATGGAGAGACCTGAAAACTGCTCCATCCAGTTGTAAGACTTGTCAATCATTATCAGTATTGTAATATTACTTTCTGTTATGCGTCCCAGCCTCTTCTGCTTTCATTTCTGCCATTTCAATTACAATATTTTTTTTTATTCTTATCGGTATTTTATAGTCAGACTGGAAAATTTGCAAGTCAAAATTCCATCTCTCTTAGACACAGGTGGCGACAGGCAAGATAAGGGTTTGTTGATAAAGAGAGTAAGCTATTGTATAACTCCTGTGTGAACGAGAAAGGATTAAATTATGATCTTGTGTTTCTGTTAACTGACATGATCTTTTAACTAACTCTACTTTTCAACATTTTAGGAAAAGATCTTATTTAACATACCTGGCATAAATTAATGAAGAATGTAACAAAATAAAACCAGCAGTCAGGGTTAAAAGGAATCTCCTTTTAAATTTCAGACTTGAACTAATTTCCAGCAGCACAAAATCTTACTTTCCAAATTTCAATAATGTTACAACAGTCAGGAAGATGTCTCAGCTAGTTTATTATTCTGGAGAAATGTCAATAAAACAGGCAACCCAATGACAACTTTTATATTCATATCTGGAACAAGTTATTCCACATACTGATTACTGTTAATACTGAAAATTGATCCTTCAATTTTTTTATGACTCATATGTTGATCTAATGTTTCATGTTATCAAGCACCCATAACTGTAATAAATATATATAATTATCTGTGCATATTGAATGCAACTCATTTTGGTTAGGGAGCAGAGGAATTCCATCTGCACTCCTGAGATCATGATTTTCATACTGCCCAAGGAATGCATCCATGCACCTAATTCAGATGACCCTGTTCCATAGCTCAAAAATGATAATCCAAAATACAAATTTAAAGTTCAGGTGATTAGGAACTTGTATTCCTTAGAAACACCATAAACACAATAACACATCACTGGCAGCATGATAGCATACTTTTAAAAGAAATATGAACATAAAACATCTAGGCATGGATGGGAGAGTAATATTAAAATGTATTTTAAAGATACTTGTTCACAGTTTATAAAAAGGATTGAATTTGTTGAGAATAGGTCTAGACTTTTGTGATGAACCTACCTGTTCTATACAACATGGAACTCAAGGATCAACTGAATAATTATCAACAGCTCAGGAAGACCTTGTACTTGAAACTTTGTTAGTACCAAAGATGACTGTGTTCCTTTGCATGAATGTATGTAGGCCCCATTCTTCATTTATATACAGGGTGTTTCACGACTTTAGGGCATAACTGCAGGAGGTGATTTCCTAGGTCTTTGTGATCAAAAAAGTTCACATAAACATGTGTCCAATTTTGGACGGTTACGGCATTATGACCGTTTTTTCATTCCTGTACACGCCCTCGTGTGAACCGCGTCTGTCAGCTGGCAGGTCGCTATATTTAGCCAGCTACAGACAGAGCGTTCTCGTTATCTCGACACTTGAGAGCTACGTAAGGCGGGGTGGGTTGGCATGTCCGGCAGCAACCAAGCAGCAGCCTGTGTTGCGACCGGCGGTGGCATTTTCGAAAATCAGCTTTAAGCACCAATAAATTCAAATTAAAGGTAATTTCACTAAGTTAAATTTACATTCATACTTTAAATGTATCATGTATTATGCTGGTTTATTATTTCGTTCCGTTTATTGTCAGTAATCGTTACCTTCTATTCTGAGTTTAAAACGGTCGTAACTCCGTAACCGTCCAAAATCGAACATATGGCTATATGAACTTTTTTGATCACAAAGACCTAGGAAATCACCTCCTGCAGTTATGCCGTAAAGTCGTGAAACACCCTGTATATGTATATGTGTGCATTCACAATGTGGTATTGTACAGTCCTGTGGCACTGTGTCTACTTGATAATATGTATAACATCTACACATGGCATAATGGAAGGAAACATACATATCTTCACAAAAATATACCAGCCTACAACACATGATGAGCATAAATGAAGTTATACTTTGCAGTTTAAATTTTAAATTTAAATTATAAAATTTAAAAAAACTTATCCAAATGAGTTATGACAGTGTAAAAAAGTGCAGGAATTTCTCAAACAATTTTAATGCACCTGATGATGGTCAAATAGGCTGCAACATGTTGTACAATAAATGTGTTATGTCAGGAAACACAACTTAAAAAACTGACAGCTTTAAATTTTGAATTTTCAAAATCTGAGTACAAGTTGCATGTGAAACAGCAGTGAATATGGGAATAAAAAATATACATTCACACTGAAATGCATTCAATCTTTCGAACAAAAGGTACAGAGTAATGAGAAGTTGCTGGAATGAAGATGCAAGTGAGAGACCTTCTTTCAAGGAGCTTACAGCAACATTTGAAAGGATGCTGGAAGATGGTGTGGAGTACTTAGACTTGAACCCACGTATTGTTCACAACAGAACATACTTTACCAGTCCAAGGGACATACTGGGTAATTATTATGTTCTTAAACTCTGCTCTCATGCATGATAATTTTTTCTGGTGAGTGAGATTTAAGTGTCATATGATAAAGTTAACATTAACTTCAACAACAAGTGGTGGTTGCTTGGTCAGTATAGTTTGCTTGCGGACTAAAACCATGGAGTTTTTATATGAGAAAGTTAAGATTGCATTTTAGTATGCATTATCATCCAAACATTAGAGGCAACAAAATTCATTACATGAGTGTTCCTAGAGGAAATGGGTTGTGACACTGCATCACACAGGCAGAAAATTTGACAACAAATTGAAGGCATTTGCTCCACCCACAAAAAAAAACGTTTTATGTTCAGTCCACATATTTCCAAACAAACATGTGGACTCTGTCATTTACGTGTACATATTCCTAATGATCAAATATGCATGTTGTGATTAACTTCACATTTATATCGATCTGCTCAAGGAATAAACCATAAAGCTTCTGGGAACACACAGTCACCTACAATTTAACTGTACCTTTTGCTGATGACACAATATTCTCCACTTTTTTGTCCCTAAGTGATAATAAAACTGATGTCATTCTATTTCTAAGACGTTCTATTTTACTTTGTAAATGATATCTAAAAAAGGTTCTGAAGGGTTCTGACAATGGTGGATGACACACAGAATTACTGGGTTTTTGGACTTTCTCCATCGTCCGGAATTTTAGGTAATAGAGGATCCTACGTTTTGGAAACTGGATCTGTTTCCGTCTTCAGATTAGAAAGGAAGACACCTTCTCAGTTCGGCCCCTTAGAAGTGCCCGAAATATTGTGTCCTCTGTTACCTAGAATTCTGGTTGATGGAAAAAGTCCAAAAACCCAGTAATTCTGGATATCTAAAATGTAGGCTAACTTCTTCTCAGAATACCTTGTTTTCATAAAATCACTGCTGTTCGGTATATCAGAGACTTTGCATGTTAAATGTATGCTCCTCATGCAAAAATTGTCCCTCTGCTAGATGTCAGTAGCTGCTAATGTTGTTTGCAGGGACAGTGATGTATTCGGAGCCAGGAACGTTCTCCTCAATCAATTTTTATAATATGGTATAATTGTTACTATTATTATTTGCACGAATATAAACTAGAATTAAACTGANTGCATTAATGTGTTTTTCTTCCAGTGCTTACCTTTAATTAGGCTTTGACTTTTATGTTGTGTTTGTCCAGTATGTAACTAGTTTTATCTACACTGTGCTGTCTGTAATTGACCTTGCGGCTGTTGGTTCAGCACATAAATAATAAAGAATCAAATTGAATTGAACTGAACTGAATTGAACTGAAATACCACTAGAAAAGATTTCATAAGTGAAACATTTCTCTAATTTTACAGATAATAATGATGAAGATATTGGTTATGGTAACCTGAATATCCTGCAGACTGATTCTGTAAATTACCTGACACAACCTCAACATCAAGTGTCCCATAAAGACAGTCACAAGGGCCTCCATGGATGTGAAATATTCAATCAATTTGGGTTGCCCAGTGATAACTTGCAGCTCCAAAGTGCAACCCCAGAGGATGAACAGCATCTGCTGGAAAGCTACGGAAAGGAAGTAACATTATTAGTCAATGTGGGAACATCAAAATCATTGGAAAATCAGAAACACTTATACCAGAATGAAATGTCTAAGAATAATGAATCACCACGACCAAGCAATGCATACCTGACACCCATCCGGCAACAAAATCTTTCAAATGAGCATATGAAATATACCACCAAAATGTTACCAGTTGCATCCCCAGTGCGTCCACAATCTTACCTAAATATGGATGGAAATGTGAACCTCGCAGACTCAGGAAAATCTGATACCCAGCAACAACAGGATCTGTTGTGTTTTGTGGCAGATAAAACATCAAATTCTACTCTTAAGACTTCCAAAGTGACAGACTGTTAAATTATAAGACTGCCAAAATGGAATTCAAACTTTACAGAATCCTCCTGAACAATGAACAGATTTATGATTTTCCTGTGAACAGTATAAAGTCTTTTTAATAATCATAAGAACTTACTGTTAAAGAAATGGAACAATAAGTCACTACATACAGGAATTATCCAGCATAATGAAGCATATTAATTTTGGAGGGAACTTCAGCAAACAAGCTGTCCAAATCATGTGCCATATCAAAGCTATAATGATAACAAATGCACCCAGTCTGACTTAGAGTGAGGGTCAATGGATGCATGGCAAGTGCAGCAATTGTGACCCAAGATTTATTGCAACATGGTCATTTCTTTTCCATTCATTCAGTATGAGCACTGAAAATATACATCAATGGTACAAAATATGTGACATATGTGTCATGTATGACACATCATGACCCTAAAAATGGCACATAAATACTTTTCAAGACAAAACAAAACCTTTTTTTTTGTAACATAAATTTGTGAACTTACAAATTACTTCATGTGAAGTTGTAAACATGTATATTTATTGTAAGATTCCAGGTTTTCACGGCGGTGACTGTGAAGAAAGCAGTCTTCTGTGATGTGGCACCGTGTAGATATTGTGTTAACCGACGTTTCGTTGGAACGTATCGCCTCCATCTTCAGGGTAGAAGAAAGAAAAAGAAAATCCAAGCAAAGAACCAGCATGAGCAGGGACTAATTTCATCACCTGCTCACAATGATTCTTTGCTTGTGGATTTTCTTTTTTTTCTTCAATCCTGATGATGGAGGCAATAAGTTCCTTCGAAGCATCGGTTAACACAATATCTACATGGCGCCACATCCAAGAATACAGCTTCCTTCATGTATATTCATTAATATACCTTGCCCAGTGGCATATCATATTTTTGGTACATGGTAAAGATCAGGTTGTGCACCAGTAATATACACAGTATTACTCAGCGGCGAATCCTGATCTAGAAGTTGGTCGTGCAGAAATGCAACTGCATGACTGACAGTACTAATGACACATGTGCACAAAGCATATTTTTGGGACACCTAGTCAAGCAGCGAATCTACCTACTTCCCTAGCCTAGTGAATACAAAACTGTGAAACACAGTGGTGTATAAGCTAAACACAGACAGTTGATTCCAAGCAAAATATTATGGCCTTCATTGAATGAAGAAAACTTTTTCCTTCCTCCAGTGTTAATGTTTTGTGGCATATTTCTAGCCAGACCAGAGCATTTACCACTGGTATTACTACCATGTTCTACATTCTTTATTGCCATATGGGCTAGAATATCTCAGTCAGCATAGTGACAGGCTATGGGCTGGCCAGCTGAAGAATCATGGTTTAATTCCCATTAGGGGTAAGAGATGCTTTCCTCCTCCACACCATCCAGACCAGCTCTTGAGCAAGGGTGCAAGGGGGGGGGGGTTCTCTAGGGATAGAGCGGTTGGGGCATAAAACTGACCATTCACATCCATGTAGTGCCAAGGTTAAGAATGTATAGAGCTATATCTTCATTCCTCCAAACATTTTAATGGTATGGTGCTTACTATAGCACAAGATGAAGTTCACTTTTTATCTTTAGCTTTATTATCATGTAGTGAGTTGCAGATTTTTGGTCTTCTTACCACATTTTCCATGCATCTCACTAAACTTGTCTTTAGCAAACAAGACATTTTAAATCACAGCCCAAATTAGCTACCTTTACAAGTCATGCTGATCAGATATTTTGAAGACTAGTACCCCAGTGATTCCTTAAAAAATTCTATTATATTAAGAATCATCCTGTATATACACATAGGGTACAATTTTAATCTAACTTAATAAACTATGCATTTCAGCAGTTACCATATTTGTGAAATGATTTACAGAATGGCAATTATCCCAAGAGCACTATTTACAAAATACTGCTATGCTTCTAATACTAGAAACTTCTGCTACTGAGATGAATATATCTGAGAAGTAACTGTGATTACAGAATTAATTTTATGAGCAGTATTTAGGAAAGCATCTGAAAATGTTAATACAAGTATAAAGACATTAAATACATTACTAATATATAATGTTTATACTTCTAAAGCAACTTAACACACTAAATATACCAGTTTAGAAGCTAATAAAAACAATTAAGTAAATACCTCAAAATATGAAAATATTACTGTTATCATTTTGTAAAAATATTTTTGAAACTAAGGGCTGCTTCAAGCATGATTTACCATTTACTGAATGTCATTGTTATTGTCCACAAACAAGCCCTATAACTTATTCCTTCCTCTTCATTTCATATCATACCATGCAACTATCAAACTCAGGACTACAGCCTAACTGTACAGGAGTCCAATATCCTTTACTTCTATGACCCACTAACTACTGAGTTATCATTCAAACTCCCATTCCAGACTAGAATAATGGCCACAACAAGGCTACCAAGGAACTCATCCTGGCAAACAAAAATTAACTCTTTCAGTGTTATGGATTGAAACATCCTGCCAAATGGGAGAATACTGAGCATATGGACAGAAATGTTCTGCCAATGTTCAGATTGCTTAAACATTAATTTTTTGCTTTGATATTTACAACATGGGGAAAGGTGTAAGAAATTAATGTCTTGAGACATAAACTGAATTTCAAATGTCAAAAGATAATATACTTGTATGTACAGGGGTGAAATACTGCATGGTTGTCCTAGTTCTCATATCACAGGCTGCTACACAGCCACCATATTTCTTCACTAGCAGTGAAAGTGTTTACACACCTTTCTCATTTCTAAATTAAGAGCTCCATTTCCTACAGTTGTGAGCTATGCAGTGATGAGGTAACATGTCATGTAAGCAGTAAAAGAGTTAAAAGTATACATACAATTTAGTAAACAGAACAATCCACACTGATACCAACTTTTGTGTTAAAACGTCTAGGTTTAAACCTTTAAAGCCTAGTTGTTAGTACAGATATCATCTGCTCTAACAAAACAAAATTCTGCATTCTGCCCACAGAGTGTATTTGTGTGATTCGTATGGTACACACAATAAACAGCGATTTTTTAACAGCATTCTTTGGTTGGTGGTCATTGTAGTGGCGACAAGGTGTTTCCTGTGAGGTACAGACTGAATCTTTATATATTTGGAAGAAATTCAGTCTTTACAGAGTTAAACCAAAACTAAAACTACAGCATTTGTTATTTCTATCTTGGAATTTGAATTTGGATGCAAGCATGCCCACATCTAGTAGTGATTGGAACAACAGAGACTGTCTTATTCTTATAGCTTCAGAAAATAAGTTAAGATTTTCTTCATTAGAATGGGATATCCAAAAGCCTGGTATATTAAAGAAGAATTTGGTGCCATATCAACAAATTCTTCACTGGAAGGAACAGTGTTTTCCTCCATTACATGCTATTGGAGTTTATGGTGGCCTAAAGATAAAGCATAAATCATTTGGTGTGCTTAAATTTTCAAGAGACTGAAGAGCAACGTGTCCAGAACTAGTCAATATCCCTCCAAAGCCAAAAACAATAAAATTACTCAAGACTGGCTTCTAGTTTTGCACGATAGGTTACCAAGGTTACCAAACAGACAGCTTTGTTTTCTCCTGTCATAAACCTAGTCATAAGAAAAAATAACTGCCCGAGGTTGTGAATATTGCAAGTTTGTGCGCACGAATGTATGCGTGTGTGAGCATGGGTTTGTATATAAATATATTTGCTGAATGATTTGGGGATAGGGCAAGTGTCATGTGAAACAAATGTACACATTCCTGTTCCGTATATGTTATACAATTTGGTACTCAACAAGTTGAGTATTACAGAAAATGAGGCTCTCTTCAGGGACAGTGAAAGGAGGGCGAGGGAGAAACAGGAGGGGCAGTCAGATATTTGAGATATTTCTTACATTTACAATTCCCCCCTCCCCTTCAGAGAGCATTTATGACACAGAATTTGAATTTTACCTTCTTATGGTGAACACTGGCAGTGTAGTCACTGCTATGAAATGGAGGAAATAATAATTATTATGAAACCAAAGTTGATTATATGCATTTGTTAATATAACACTATATTATACAGCTAATAACTTATTATAACATGATAGCTTCACCACTGAAGTACTTTATTAGGATCCAGATGGAGAGGGTTTAATTCTTTTTCAGCATGTCAGGTGATCAGAGAACTAAAGCCAACTTCATGTGGAGCTTCAATTTCTCATTCATTGATTATTAAGTAAAGTAAAGAAAAAAGTAAAGCTATTCCTGTAACAGGCTGTGAAGGCCCATATGGTTGTGAGACATTGAGGGTCTCACATTATCTAGACTATCGGCTCAAAGATGGAGGTAAGGTTGTCAGCCTTAGACTCCGGCCATGCTTTACTCCCCAGGAGAATTATTTAATTAATTCCTGGTACTCATTTCTGTTAGAGGCTGGGTCAACCCCAGGGCCATAGTGCAGACGGAAGGTCAACTGAAAAAAATCCAATGACCTCTTCGGGACTTGAACCCGCAACCTTCTGGCTTGTAGCATAGTGCCTCAACCAACTATGCTACCGCATACTGCATTCCAGAAATCACAATTTTATGAAAACCTCTTTAACTTAAGCTTTAAGGGTTGGGCTAAGTCAACCCATTCTGCCTCATTCAGAACTTTTCTTCTAAGGTGACCAACTGTCCCTTTTAATCACTCTCGAGAAACTCTTTTGATCCTGTTCTCAGCCATACTTGTTCATCCTTTGATACATACACAAAGGAGAGAGGGGAAAGGAGAGTGTAATGACAGACATTATGTTTGGAGCAAGGGAACATAAAGTATTTCCTGTCTTTTCAGAAACTATTACTATACTTAATTTCAGGACCCTAAAGTGATCACTCACCACTCACAAGTTCAATTTTCCACTCCGTTGTTATTACTTACTGCAAAATATTAAAAAATACAGGGTTCAGGGAGGCCTGGATGGCATAACATTTATATGACAATTTGTGAAAATTGGTCGGCTGGTTCAAATGTTGAAATGGTGGATATACTCAAAGAGCATGATGATCTCATAAGCCTAATCCATTTTCTGTTCAGAAAAGTAGGCTAACAACTACATTTCTGCAATTTGTATCATTCTCAATTGATCTTTACTAAGAGCGCAATTTTCCATATTCACACAGATATAAAGAATCATGATAACTGTAAAATTTTATAACCAATTCATGTAAATATAAATTGCCTTTATATTCATGTTTACAGGTCTTCAATTTACAATCAGACATTATAAAATATAGTTATTCCATATGCTTAGGTGCTATAGGAGTGTAAAGGCAGACAAAATATCTCACAGCAGAATGAAAACTTTTTCTTCTTTTAGCATTACTCTATTCTATAGGAACTAGTGGTTGAAAAGTATCCAGTCTCTTCTGTCTTACCACAATGTTTCATTTTTCGATTTCTTACCAGATACCTCTTCTTCTATGTCTGTGTCTTCTAGTACCTGGCTGAATAATCTTGCTCTGGGTCATAAAAAAGGCTTCTTTCTTTAAAATATATTTCTAATACCCTTTTTGGTGTCCTTGTTCTATCCATTTTCCTTACACGGCAAAACCATTGTAGTCATCTGTCTTCAAACTC